TTTGGAGCTATATCAGTTTGCGTGGAAATTAATAAAGAGCACGGCAACCTTTCCTTGGTGATATTTTAATGGCCGTCCGGTGTACAAAAATATCTGTTAACCAAAAACCATCTTATGTGTACCAAAGTCGTCAGTGATGGTCACACAGACAATTTGCTACCTTCGCGGACCAAAGTCTAGCTTTTCGCGGGATCCTATTAAACATATAGTGTTGTCGCTACCATGTGCTGTAGAGATTTCGTTGCACAACATGACAGAAACATTCTTTGTTAGGACTCTATTTTATAATTCGACATTGCATGTTTCATATACCCATTGTAGCCGAAAAATGATAAAGAAACATTTTTGTTTGATATCTACGGAGCCCCTTAAGTGCCAAAGATGAAATTTAGAATATTTGTGCGCGCGACTTTAAATCTTGTGCGCACAACGTTTTCACAATTGTGTACACAACTTTTTAAAACTTGTGCGCACAATTTTCAAAATTGCGCGCACAACTTTTTTAATCTTGTGCGCACAACTTTAAATCTTTCATGGTTAAATTGAACTAGACTGAGTTATGTTTTAAGAAGCAATGTTTGGTTAAGTAAAACCAGATATCATGGATATCTTTTTAGTACCGGACTCCATGTGAGAATGAAGATGTGGTGTGTGCTTTGGAAAACTTTGCAGAGATTGACAAAATAAACCTTGCAGATTTTCTTGATAGCCACTCTTGTAAAAAATGGGAAAACCTGACAATTTCAACCGAATCATAAAGGAAATTCCTCATTAAGAACTAGTTCAGCAACCAAAGTGCATTGTCCGGACTTGGGAACCTTGATCAATCCAACGAATTAACAACAGCTTTACAATACGTAACAAACGACTGTTAAGAACGTTTTGAGAAGCCTTATCTTTCTTGAAAACATTTCTTCTACTGATAGAGATGCCATGCAGCACTTGAGAAAATGCAACAAAGAAATAGTCCAAGCCAAATTAAAATTGTTTTTATGCTTTTGTACAGCGTCTGACTTAATGTTGATAGAACAGGCAGATATTCCATTCAGTTTCTTTCACAAGATGGTCTGGGTCATGTGGGAAACTTTTGGAGGTAACAAAGAGCTACGAAAATTATCCCTCATTTAGATCAGAATTTAACTGTTTCTTTTCTATTTTGGTAATGAACATCATTTAATTACCAAATTGAAGTCTTGATGAATACATGTTTGTTTGCATATCAAAACGTATTTTTTATTTTTTTTTTATTTATGTTGATCATAATTGACTCTTTTTATTCATAGCCTAGTTAACTTGTACCAGAAACAAATATAACAAATAAATTCATTATGTGTAGAAAATAATTAAAAAAACTACCCTCAACTTTTATATCTTGCACACATATTTCCGAAATGGCTATACTGATGCAAATATTTGATTTATCATAGTATTAATGTGTAGGTCTGTCGTCAATAATTGTTTGGGTGATAAGAAACAATGAATATGGTGTATAAATGCATGACACAAAATTTCTACATACACTTGACAAAGCCCAAAGCAACGGAACAGCAGTTTTATTGCTGTTCTTCATCTCAAAGTCACAGTGATGCTTTCAACGGTCTCACCGCAATGTAAGTTTAAGACGGAATTCTTTGCTGTATGTCTATAACGATACGGGACTATGTTAGGGTTTTTGATTGCATGATTACAAGGGCATTTTGAGGCTTATTATTTTATCACAATGTGTTATTTCTAATGAATAATTGGCTGCGTTATTTCATTGGTGTGATAATTTTATAACTGAAGGAAATGGTTTAATGACAACCAAAGCACAACAATGAGTTATTACATGATTACGCGCACCCCCTTAACAGAGACTCGATAAATCTGCATCTGTGTAAAGTAGTTGGGGCGATAAAGATTAATTTTGGTCCAAACATATAACATACCATCTGGGTATAAAGCAATGGCACACCACAACTAAATATTTTAACATGTTATAAAAAAGAAGATGTGGTATGATTGCCAATGAGACAACTCTCCACAAGAGACCAAATGACACAGAAATTGACAACTATAGGTCACCGTACGGCCTTCAACAATGAGCAAAGCCCATACCGCATAGTCAGCTATAAAAGGCCCCGAAATGACAAAGTAAAACAATTCAAACGAGAAAACTAACGGCCTAATTTATGTACAAAAAATGAACGAAAAACAAATATGTAACACATAAACAAACGACAACCACTGAATTACAGGCTCCTGACTTGGGACAGGCACATACATACAGAATGTGGCGGGGTTAAACATGTTAGCGGGATCCCAACCCTCCCTCTAACCTGGGACAGTGGTGTAACAGTACAACATAAGTATCATAAGTTACATACATTTCTTTTGAATACGAAGTTGTATTTGTTGTGCGCTCGAAGTTTACCGGATCAAGGTATGTCAAACAATGAAGTAAAAGCAGACAAAAATGGACTTTTAATCTGATTCCTTCATTTAAAAGTTTAGTTATAGTCTTGGTTCTTTAAGACATCTACACAAATATGTCCTTTTCATGATAATTTATGTTTAAGCCCTGTCAATATATCTCTAGCACCTTGGAAAGATGAGCTTCAAATGTTTGTAAAATGCTAGGACGAAAAAGGTCCTCTAATGACCCCTATTCTTTGAGGTTTCAGTGGATTGATTTACTTGATGTATAGGAAATTGTTACCAGGACCAAATGCAGATGAGAGTTTGATATTTGATTTTTTTCTTCAATTCTGAAAATAAAGGCACCAAAAAGGGTGGAAAGTCATCATTGTTAACAGCAGAGCAGGTTGTTACTTATCGGTTCGAAGTTAGTTGAACGTATATGTCAGTCTAATTTTAAATAAGACATCCCCTATCTGCCACCTGATAACGTGATGGTTAGATTGATCTGAGAAGGGTGGGTAGCTATATTCTGACAGTCCACAAGTCATACTTCCCTATTTGTCAAACAGCCTTTTTTTCCAACACTTCCTTTAGTCGACAGTCTTTCAGTCAAACAGGGTTTTTTTTTGCTTCATTAACCCTTTTTTCCAGAATATTTTTGGACGACAGGTTAAAACATTGTGTCTGTTTCATTCTTATCTTTAAATGAAAAATGCACGCATTGATTTCTGTATTTACAATAAAAGTAGTTTTTAAGTAAACAAGTTAGTTAAGTTGTTTAAACGAGTTAGTTAAGTCGTTAAAACAAGTTAGCTAAGTTGTTAGCTAAGTCGTTATAACAAGTAAGCTAAGTCGTTATAACTAGTAAGCTTAGTCGTTACAACGACTTAAAAATAAAACTCCAATAAAATAAAAACTAAAAAACTGCTAATTTTCCTTAAAATTACCAATTCAGGGGCAGCAACCCCAAAACGCGTTGTCTGATGTGTCTGAAAAATTTCGGGCAGATAGACCTTGACCTGATGAACATTTTGACCCCCTGTCAGATTGGCCCTACATGCTTTAGTTTCAGAGATATAAGCCAAAATCTACATTTTACCCCAATGTTCTATTTGTATACAAGGCGACCATCTTGATTATTGGGCGGGGTCATCGGATACTTTTTTTAAACTAGATACCCTAAGGATGATTTTAGCCATATCCGCTTTAATTTTGCCAAGAATTTCAGAGGAGAAGATTTTTGTAAAAGTTAACGACGACGACGGATGCCAAGTGATGAGAAAAGTTCACTTAGCCCCCTGGTCCAGGTGAGCTAAAAAAGCAAAACGAACAAAAAGCAACGGACAAAAAGCAAAAGTGTCGGACAAAAAGCAAAATTATCGGACAAATAGCAAAACGGACAAAAAGCAACGGACAAAAAGCAAAAGTGTCGGACAAAAAGCAAAATTATCGGACAAAAAGCAAAACGGACAAAAAGCAACGGACAAAAAGCAAAAGTGTCGGACAAAAAGCAAAATTATCGGACAAAAAACAAAAGCGGACAAAATGCAAATTGCGGACAAAAAGCACCGTATCAGTCGTCTAATGTGTGAATTTTTATGCAATATGCCTAAATAGTTTCTGACAAACGGCGTGACATGCGAAACCCCCCCCCCCTTTTTTTTTACAAAAAACTCAATATCTCTAAAATAAAATTTTGAATCAAAACCAAAAAGTATACAGATCTTTAGATTAATATAACTAAGAAGTGTGTAAAATTTTAAGCAATAATCATAAATCGTTTTTGAGATACGGCTCGACATGTGAAAAACCCCTCCCCTTGTTTTACAAAATACTCAATAACTCAAAAATAAAATTTTGAATCATCACCAAAAAGTATACAGATCTTAAGATTAATATAACCAAGAAGTGTGTAAACTTTTAAGCAATAATCATAAACTGTTTTTGAGATACGGCGCGACATGTGAAAAACCCTTCCCCCTTTTTTAACAAAATACTCAATATCTCTGAAATAAAATTTTGAATCATCACAAAAAAGTATACAGATCTTAAGATTAATATAACAAAGAAGTGTGTAAAGTTTAGCAATAATCATAAATTGTTTTTGAGATACGGCGCGACATGTGAAAAAAAACACACACCTGTTTTAGTTACTAAGTCCCGTAACTCAAAAAGTTTAAATCTTGTTTTCACCAAAAAGTATACAGATTGTTTGACTATCATAAGAAACAACTATGTTAAGTTTCATGAAATTTGGATAAGTCAATCTCAAGTTACGGTGCGAAATGTTTACGCCGGACAGACAGACGGACAGACGGACAGACAGACGGACGGACGCCGGACATTTGTATACCATAATACGTCCCGTTTAAAGTTTGACGGGCATATAAAAACGAGGAAAGTCCATTTAATTGACAAAATCAAAGGTAAGACTTTATCAACCAACGAACGAATGAAAAAACAACGAATTAATACATTAAATAGGGTTTTAATTTTATATTGTAATTAGCTTCTATCTTAGAGGTCTATACAAAGAAACGGTTATCTTTTCGATAACTAATAAATAAATAATCAGTAAGTTTGTAAACTATTTTCTGCAGCATATATCCCTAACATGAATACAGATCTTTTTGAAGAATCAATGCATGGAAACATTAGTGAAGTGGAATCGCTACTACAGAACGGTGCAAATCCAAATCATTTCTCTGCAAATGGCTTTACAGCGCTTCACACTGCTTCTGAACATAATCATGGAGATGTTGTCCAAATGCTTCTTGAAAACGGTGCCGAACCAAATGTTGTGTCAACCGATGCAAACAAAATAACCCCGCTTGGGTTTGCCTGTAACAAGGGAAATATTGACATTGTTTCAAGACTTCTTAGATACTCGGCTGATGTCAATCTTTGCGATGAAAAAAGTATCAGTCCTTTATATGCAGCCTCTCGTAGTGGTTATTTTGAAATAGCAAAACTTCTTATTCAAAGTCGAGCCGACGTACACACAGCCACGATAGAGGGATTTAAAGCCCTACATACAGCTTCAGAATTTGGTCATGTTGACATTGTCAATTTGCTGTTGAATAACGGAGCTGCAGCGAATGAAAGTTTAAACAACAATGTATCACCGCTTTATTTTTCCTCAGCAAATGGACATTTTGAAACAGCGAAGCTTCTTATACAGTTCGGTGCTAATGTAAATGAACGTTCGTCTAAATTATTTACCGCTCTTCACACTGCATCAGCAAAAGGTCACATTGCTATCGTAAGAATTCTACTAGAAAATGGAGCGAACCCAAATATACTGTCCGCATGTACAAATAGAACATCACCACTTCATTTAGCTTGCAGTAATGGCCACAAAAACATCGTTGAAGTTTTGTTAAAATACGAAGCTAATATAAACACTTCAACCGCACAGTGTGTATCGCCTTTATATACGGCTTCCCAAAATGGTCACGCAGAAATAGTTGAATATCTTTTGCAAAATAGAGCAGACGTTAAAAGACGTTGTGTAAATGGAAATACTGCTCTTCATACAGCTTCTGAAAGGGGTCATTTGAGTATTGTAAATACTCTTCTGGAAAACGGTAGCGAAATAAACTTTCAATCAAGTTCTGGATCCACACCACTTTATTATGCGTCGTCCAACGGAAGACTTGAAACCGTCAGTCGACTCATTCAGCTTGGTGCTGACATAAATAAATCCACTGTGACAGGATGCAGTCCTTTTCATGGCGCAGCTGACCACGGACATGAGGCTGTTATTTCTATTCTTCTCACTAATGGTGCAGATGTAAATCTACAGGATGAGGCTGGACTAACTGCATTGTTCTTTGCTGCTCGTAAACCTCACATCGAAATCGTTAACATTTTACTTCGATACAATGCAGACGTCAATTTGTGCACTATCCAAGATTTTAGTCCTTTGCATACTGCATCGGAACTTGGTCATTTAAACGTTGTTCGAGCTCTTATCCAAAAAGGGGCAAATGTGAATCATCAATCAAACACAGGTATCACTTCATTATACTTTGCATCATCAAAAGGACGGAGTAATATTGCCAAGTATTTACTTAGGAATGGGGCCGACCTTAATATTTACACAGTACAGGGATTCAGTCCACTGCATACTGCCTGCGAACAAGGTCAAATAGAAGTAGTGAAAGTTCTATTAAAACACAGCGCAGACCCATTTCATTGTACAAATGGAGGTGAAAATGCCTTCACCTTTACATTAAGGAAACAACATTTTCTTGTATTACTGCCATTAATACAAAACTGTGCTTTGAGTAGAAAATTTATTTTCCTTGCGTTAGCTGGATTTATTTCGTTGATACTGGCCTTTTTGTATGAATAGACGAATAAGTATATCATACACATATTATCAAAATCAAAAACATTGTAAATGTTTATATTTATGTTTACTGGTATTCTTATGTTTTATTTGATAACTGTTTTATCGTGTAGGGAAAGCAGTAGTACTTATTCATCCCTTGGCTCAATACTAACACTTTCTAAATTTTACACGTTTCATGATAAAAAGCAGTACAAAACAGTTATGCAGACTATTAGTACTTTATCATTCTGTTTTGGAGTTAAAGTCAGATAATGGTATGGTAATTTTCAAACGGACATTGTTAATAGTATCCTTAACATTTTTCATTTTACATCACATTTATGAATATTTATAAGCCTTTTATAAAGATTCTCATGATTTGTTTTTTTTCTTGCGTTTAAAATTCGTATTGTAAATATGAACATTGCAGTTATTTATTGAAGAATAAATATTCACATGATACCAATATATCAAATAACAGCGCTCTAAAGATGACTTCCTTCGTCTGCCTTGGGTACACAAAAGACCAACCTTATGTCAAGAAAATAAAATACTTTTATTATACCGGAAGCAGTTAGAAAAGGACAATAAATAGCACGCTATCGAACTTTGCATGTTGTTTGCAAATTAAACAATGTTTCAACTACACTGGCCATAAATTCATGCAATGATTTAATCTGCTACCAGTATGAGAAATGTTAACTAGTTTTAGATGTTATCACTTGTAATTGGAGAAATAATTGATTGGTTGGTGTTTAATGCCATTTTCAGTGGTGGTAAGTTTGTATTTGTGGCGGAAGACGGAGTGCTCGGAGTGACCCACCGACCTTCGACACGAAAACTGATAATCCCAGTCAATTGTAGTCGAGCACACCTCCCACGAGCGGGATTCGAACTCGTAACTTCAGTGATGAAAGGCTAGTTATTCAGTTGTTGGACGACTTTGACCACTTAGCCGAGGAGAAGTGACTTTCACGTTGAAGACACTAAGGACAATACGACTTTAATTCCTGTTGTTTTTTTATTTGATAAAAAGAAATGTGCTGAAGTCATAACACTGCTACAGTTAACATCAACTCTCGTTGAAAAATTTTCCATCATTTGTAAGTGATATCTGATTTTGAGATTGTCAGCAATTACTTCGATCTGATTTTGAGATTGTCAGCAATTACTTCGAAACAACAACAGGGAGCAAGATAACGAAACATACTGTAAACCAACTAATTTTCGTGTGCGATTTAATTTCGCGATTTTCGCGAGTAGGAAAAACCGCGATTATAAATAGATGCGAATATATAAAACTTGGAACTTTCTTATTTAATTACATCAAGTAAATGTGAAAATCGCGAAATTAAATCGACGCGGAGTGGGATTGAAAGGACTAAACACGAAATAATATCTCCGCGAAAATAAGTTGGTTTATAGTATTTCAGTTTAACGTTATATGTCTTTGATTTGTATCTTTATGATGAATTTATGGCAATTAAAGCTACTGTTTACCTCGTATATTAGTTAACAAACCCAAATAAAATACTAGTAGCCAAGAAAAAAAAAACGTTTTAGTATTCATGCTTGGAAAACATAAAAGGGAGGCGAAAGATACCAAAGAAACATTCAGACCAGAAGACAAACAACAGGTAACAGAACACAACCGAAAAAACTAAAGACCGTTTAACACGAACTCTATCAAAAACTGGGGGGGGGGGGGGGGGGGGGAGGGGGGGGGGTGATGTCAGGTGCATCGGAAGGAAATGTAGACACTACTCCACATGTTGGTCATACATCTTACATGTACATTATGTACGATTTTTAAAAAATTCTACAAGTTGTTTAGATAAGTTTTTGGCTGAATAAATGTTGAATGTTTTTCATATTTTTGTTACATTAGAGAGTTTAGACAAATTTCTTTTTATGGTAACTCTGTCGGTTATGATACAATTAATTTGTAGTTGATTCGGTCAAAATAGTCATTGTTATCTCCTGTTTAACGAGAAATGTTGACCATATGTTTGGAAAAAAAGAAGAAGAAAACAGAATTTTTATCTTATTGTCTCCTTGTCGAGAAAACGGTTTTGTTTATGTAACAGATAGAGGACAATAGTGAGAGCGGGACTAATGACCTACTTAAGCCTGGGAAAAATGAAAACATTTACTTTAATGGATTAAGAACATGACAAAACAATGACTACCTTCATGAACAGGGGCAATTCAAAACAACAAACAATAGAACATCATGAACATAGTGCATTACGATTTCTAAAACAAAAGGGATATGCTAGCACATGTACACATATTGCAAGATTTAGATTGAGCAAATCTCTTTAATTAAGCCAACAGAAAAACAAAAAAACTTGACAGAAATAAACGAGTAACACATATGGCATAGAGGAACAAAAGACCACTGAAATACAAGCTTATGACTTGGAACATGCACTTGTGAGGTTTTTGCTAGGGCGCACCCTCCCCCAACTTTTGACAGTGATAGAACAGCATAACATATCTGAATGTTTTAAAAGAATACCAACATAAAAATTATTAAGTTAATCCAAAGAAATACATAACTACAAATAAAGCTGAAATAAAACAAGAAATGTAAGAGCTAAGTCTGACAATCAGTAGAGTCTGTATTTCAATAAACCAATAGTAATGCCTTCACCATATCAATGACAATCTCTGAAACGCAGCATTACAGTATTCATCCGGATCATTTACTATTGAGTTGATAAATCCTAGTCTCGCTGAATCCATGTCTCCTGTCATTTCAAAAGATACCCCTAACATGTTGTAGCATGCTGCCCGCTCAATGTTAAGTGATAAGAAATAGTCGTCCTGTATTGTTCGTTGTAAATTTCGAATAGACTCCAGTAATTTTGTCGTATTATGAAAATTATAATGACATAGGAAACGCAGAAAATAAGCAAATTGTACTGGTGGTATCAGGTATTCTGTCTTTTTTACATCGATTTGCAATTCGGTGGCTATAATTTCAGAGTTCTTAGCAAATATCACATAATCTAATATAAGACATTTCCACAATTTAACAATATTCATTTTCTTAAACAAATGCAAACTGAGAAATTCACTATGAACACGTGACAAATGTTTGTATTGGAAAAGTTTTTCCGGCGAACATTTCAATAGAGAATGCTCGATGATATTAAGAGCTTTGTCGTACTGGTTAGTTCTGTAGAAAAACGAAGCTAACATCAACCATCCAGACACGGCATCATGTCCCATTCCCCGGAGGAGAGTACTGACACAGGCATTGTACTGTCTATACATATTTTTATTGCCGGATTTGTCATTGAATTGAACAAAATGTTTACTTTTGTAACAAAATTTAGACAAATAATATGAGTATAGATATTTAATCTTAGAACTTTTTGACGAGAAAATTCTGTGTATTCCTTTCTCAAAATTACAAGTCAGAAGTACACCATCTGCAGTTTGAATCATTGAAAACAATAATTTTTTAACAGAGTCGACTTGTGAATAAGTTAGTTCTCTACTAAAGTGAAATTGAAAATTATGGAAATTCTTTAATTGGTTTGACAATAAGATACATTGCCAATCACAACATTTTAGACTACGCAACTGATCTAGAATTATTTTCTGTGAAAGTCCTTTTATTTTATTTCCAAACAAATTGTTATCGGGCACAAAGAAATGCGGACAAATGGAGTACTCAACACAGTATGTTAGTCTGTTGAAACATCTCATGAAGCAAGATATCAGTCTTTCCGCCTTCCATATTGATGGTGGTAATTCTTCAGATATCCAGAATACAATAGTTTTCAAGAAGTATGAACACACTAATTCTTCACAATCTTTGTCAATTTTTAATAATAACGGGTTTATCACATCCTTTAACATAATTTTCATGAGAGCATAACATAGCAGTTGCGTATGTGTAAATGTGTACATCAGCAGTTTTTCTCCAACGGAAAAAGAAATTCGCCATTCTAGGTCTCCTAGGTCTTCTTTCATGGATCCTATTGGAACAAAAAGAACTCCATGCTTAAAAATAGCCTGTTTAACATCGTATCCTGGCCATGAGTTATTTGGTCTTGTTATCCATTGTTTAGCCTGTGTCACCCATGATTTACTATGTAAACAGTATGCCATGTCATATAATCCTGCTTTGTCGGATAAACACGGTCCATGCATATTTGACCAAAGATTACCTGAAAACTGGTATTTGAATTTAGAGTTTGAAAAGTAATATTCATCTCCTATCATGTCACACTGTTCAAGGATTTTCAAAGATTTACCATGACCAATGTACGCTAAACGTAATTGAGTGAAACCTGGCTGCGTATCTTCTGTTACAATGGTAAAATATGTTTTATCAGGATCTACACGAATGTTCGTGTTTTCACACACCTCAATATATCTGATGGGTCGCATAACATCTAGATCACTTCCTTTCATCTCGATTCCCTCCCCTCGACTTCCGCTGGTGATTGTTGCCATGTCGTTGTCGTATGACAAATTGTCTCTGACAGTGTTCAACATTCTTAACGTTTTCACGTGCTCCTCAGTTCCAACAATATGCCGATAAAGGTACCGATACAGGGATATTGATTCATCTTGACGTGTGATTGAGTCTGTAAGTATAGTTAATTTAAAAGATAAACAAAGTCTGTTGTAACCAATGTGTAAGTGTGAACTAGTATTATTCATTTATTTATTTAATATTAATTTTATCAGTAATCAAAGCCAGACTTCAAAGTTATTGTGAAACTAACTATTATAGAGTTGCCGTGAATCAGATGTAGATACTAAATAACTCCAAAGATCGTTTAGAGTACATAAAATCTACTACTCTTTCATCTTGCAATAGTATTAAAACATTTGACTTTTTAACACTTTACACGAGTATTCCCTGTCCAAACTAAAAGACAAATTGAAAGAGTTGGTCCTGCTTTCATCAAAAGGAATAACCAACGTAGATACAAGTATCTCGTGTTAGGGAGGGATAAATGATACTTTTAAAAAAAATTACTTTGATTCAAACAAAAAATCTCTAAATATGACATTGTCAAAATTCTTGATTTCTTGATTGACAACATATTTGTTACGTTTGGAGGACGTGTTTTTCAACACACAATCTGTCTTTCCATGGAAACCAACTGTGCTCCTCTTCTCTCCGACTTGTTCCTTGTTCCGGTGTCCTTTAACTTTACTTCCCGCTATATAGATGGTGTTCTGATTACAGCTTCTCAAATGTGACCTTTCCATTTCCATGGAGGAAACATTCTGAAAACGCCTGCATACGGAGTGTATATCTCTCATTTGATACGATATTCGAGGGCTTTTATTTCATATCATGATTTCCTTGATAGAGGTTTGCTCCTTATAATGAAGGTATTTAACCAAGAGTTTCCAGTCTTGAAGTTGAAGTCATCCCTTCGTAAATTTTACAGATGCCATGAACAGTTAGTTGAACGTTTTGGAATAGCCGTTTCATACAGACGACAGCGGATATGTTCCTATTGTAGTACCTTTCTCCCGAATGTTACCCACCGAATTAGACTTAATACTGTTTTTGTACTAATATGAGCAACACGACGGGTGCCACATGTAAAGCAGGATCTACATTTCCTTCCAGAAACACCAGAGAGAGATCACCCCAAGTTTTTGATGGGGTGCGTGTTGCTCAATCTTTAGTTTTTTATGTTTAGTGTACTGCTGTTTGACTGTTGTTATTTTTCTTTTTCAGCCATGGCGTTTTAAGTTTAAATTTGTCTGATGAGGTCGAATGTCCCTTTGGTATCTTTCGCCTGTTTTTTTTAATTCGAATTGATACCAGATATGGGCATGATCCTCGTTTCAAAGGTGAATTGAGTGTATTCTGCTATGTTAGACTGTAAAATAACAGAACACATTTGGTCTAAATCTTCAATCTTAAATATTTAAATTTTGAGACATGAATCCAAATCATGTGCAAGTCTTTTCATTTACAAGAAGGCCTATGTACTTTATCGTATTACCAAAACTATTGTCACAGATACAGGTTATTTATTGTTTGATTCACACGTTTTTGAACTTAGCCTTATAAGAGGCACCTCTGACGATTTTAATTTAAGACAGAAATTTTCAGTAAATTTCCCTTTTTTGTTTCCATAGCAAGAAAACTGGTTCGGTGATCCATTTTTTTATTATTTATTTTCAGAAAGCAAATTATATGAGCTATCTTCCAACTTTCTAGGAACCCGAAATGTGTTTTGTTTTGTTATGCATAAACTGTACAAAATCTGAAAATTGGGAACGACTTATACATTCTAATACATTGTATATGTTTGAGATAAAATTGTTGTTTCAAATAACTAGAAAATTATACCGTTTTTACTATAGACCTCACATACCTTAACTTTCACTTTTATATTTTGTATACCGTGAAAACGTTTGCTATCTAAAACATGATAACATAGAAACATATTTGCTGTAATCGACACAGAAGCAAACGTTTTAGATGTACATTGTTTTTGTAATTATTAAGCTATGTATCTAAAACTAACGAAACAAAATGTTTTCCAACAATACAAATACGTAACAAAAATATAGAGTATTTCCTGGGAAATCGCTATACTATACACTGGCTTAATTCGTAGTAGCATATTTAAATTGGTTGATACTCTTGATTCGAGAAATTACAATGCAGTGAGATACAAATATCATGAACAATGCGTGAGTCCGTTAACATGCACAGTATTTCTCATTTTTTGTGTAAACAAATCGAACTTGTTGTAAATATTCTTTCAAGAATCCTATCGGTATTGAAGATAAAACTGAAATATCTTATGGAATAGTTTTTACCTGCCATTTTATTGTAGGTCTTGAATGCATTTCAATGGGTACTTAACGGGAATTCACCTAAATCAGATTCAGTTTTAAGAAACTAAATATTTAAAATAAAAAGGTTCATCAGACCATGAATGTTTTAAAAGGTTGATTTTGTTTGCTTTTAATATATGAAAACATTTAATTATGCATTAAATGTTTGACAATTTACTAAAACAATACGATTAAAGTTTAAATGTTAAACAGGTACCGTGAATGTATTGTATTTGTTTAATGGTTAATCGTTGTCTTTTGTCCAACAGTTAAAATAATCACAATAGTTTTTTGTTAGCATCACTTCCTTTTCATATTTAATAAACCATTTTTTTCCCCTCGTCACCTCATAATGCATGTAATATTTGGAGCTGTAAATGTGAGAAGAATATAGAAAAGGAATAAGAAATAACATCTACGTATACATCATATATAAAGGTATTTGATATTGCACCTTCATGCAGTAGCCATGCGATTATACATTATCATTTTTATGATAAATAAAAAAAATCAATAAAATCTTAATCAATTCACGATCTACTTAATATTTTCATACTTTTTTCCTGTTCTGCTTAAATTTATTTTTAACTGTCACATTCTCCCAAGATGTCTACGGAGATTTCATTATTTTGATGAAAATAGTAACGAAGAATGAAAAGGGCAACCAATGAATGCTTTATTTTAACGTTCTTATAGGGCAACCCAGTGTATCACCTGGCATTTATACTCTTATGCAGACACAAAGTTTTTTCATCATACTGGTTAGTATTATCAACATAAGGGAAACCTAACACGTACAGTGGAAGAGAGGTTAAAGATACCAACGGTACATTCAAAATAACTTATCCTAATGATTTTGATGCCTGTATATCGAAAATATAACCAGTTCATTTTCTGCGTAAAACGTACAGAGATGATTTATTTCTCTTTGTATTCTACATCATGGGTCTAACTGAATTCTTGCACCATAACTCTTTAAATTCACTGCTGTTCTGTACTCTAAAAAAGAGATAGTAAATAACATAGAGTTCGATATTTATATTAACGATCTCTCTTGTAAATGAATAAATAGAAAAAAACTCCACTTATTTTATACTGATTTGGAATAATTGTTACCTAAAAATTCCAAAGATCTGTTAGAGTACATTCAATATAAGACCCATGTTCATCTTGCAGTAGTATTTGACTTTTCTACCAATCATTGCCCATTCCAAACCAAAACGACAACTTACAAGTTGGTCCTGCTTTATTTCATCAAAAAGAAAGTCAACCGCAGAAAAACGTATTTTGTGTAAAGGGAGGGATAACTCGTACTTTGTAAAAAAATTCTCTTATTTAGACAAAACATTCTCTGATTTCTTGATTATAATTATATTTGTGACGTTTTGAGGACGTTTTCCTTAACAAGCAATTGGCCTCCAATGGAAGCCAACTGTGCTACCCGTTTTATCGACGTATTTCTTTAATCATATGAGGCTAACTTTATACAAACGCTTCTTGGGAATAATGCAAAGAAGCTAGAATTTTTCTTTAATCTACTTTCCGCTATATATATACAGATAAATTCCTCTCACTAAATAATTCAAAGTTTGGTGACTATGTTTAACGCATCTATTTCATCGAACTAGAAAGGATACTGCAAATAAAGTCTGACTCACATCTTGACTTACATCCAAAATTGACAATGAGGGTCGGTTGAGAACTTAACATTACTAGAAATTAGAAAATTTCGGCTTCCCAATTGTGAACTTTTCATTTCTATGTAGCAACATTCTGGCAGCGCTTGCAAATAGAGCATATATATCCCAGTTAATACGATATTCCAGGACTTAAATTTCCTTTTTGGTTATTTTCTTTTCTTTCACAATATCCGATCTACATTCAATGAAATATATTCCTTTGAATTAATGCTTATAAATGTGTTAATCCAAAGCCGTGACAGGAGGATATCGGATCTCTTTGGATCGATTTAGAAAGCATAGTTGGAATTTTAGAAGTATTTAGTTCTTTTCGCTAATTTATGTTCTTCTCTTATCATAAACTTTAACAAACTAGAAAACTGACTGAAATTAGATACCTCAGAAGAATGAACGTATTCTGCTTTTTAAGCATCATGTTAAGATTTAAATCATCCCGATTTTATAAATTAACAAAGAGTTAAAAGATCTGCCATTTATATCCGATTCAAGAATCGACAATACAAATGTGCAGATATAACTATAAAAGAACCAATGATGAATTTTCTCACCTGGGAGAGCCATATAAACGTGTGACATGGTTATAGTCTTTTTAAAAGATACACCTACCTGATACGACTAACAGATTTGTAATGTCATTCAGATAAAAAAAAAATTATACAAACAATTGTATGGGTTTACAATTAAACATTGAAATTAAGTGAAGTCCTATTATTTATAGTGTCATTTAATGCCAAAGTGTACACAACAATTACAGAAATTACATTGTTTAATTCAAATAATGAATTGAACGTATCCCCACTTGCTTTATAAATATAACGCTCAGAGCTAACTGTTCACGAAAACCTAAAATCACCGATAAGGTGACAAATATAAAGTTTCTCAAAAATCCAAATAAAGTGTACATCGAAGATATAGTATGCTACTATGCTACTATTGAATTCGGTCAGGGACATGATACGTGTTTATGGAATAACGTTCATCAGATTAAAACCGATTCTACATATTACATGTAAATATATAATATTTCGTTGTAAACTATACAGACGACATTCTGATATATATATGTG